CGTATTCTCTCTTGAACACTTGAGGTATTTCATTTTGCTTTGGTTTATTACTAGCCCTCTCTTCTTTGCTTCTTTATCTAGTATTAATATTATGTTCTGCATGGTTTTTAAATCTCTAGTAACCAGTGCAATATCGTCTGCATACGCAATCAGTTGGGCTGAAGATGCGATAATCGTTCCCATAATTTTGGCTGCTCTTACTGCGCCCTCTATGGCAATGTTAAATAATGTTGTTGACAGGGAGTCTCCCTGTCTGACACCTACCTCCATTTGTACTTCATCTGACGGGCCTTCCTTTGTTAAGATTCGTGCCTTGGATTGCTTCATCGTCATTTTCGTAAGACTTATTAATTTTTCTTGGATGCCTAATTGATTCATATCCTTAATTAGCTCCTCCCTTATTACACTGTAAAAAGCTTGCTTGTAGTCAATAAACAGTATATGTAGATCTATTCCGTGCTCGTAACTTTTTTCAACTATTTGCGTTACAATGTGTATTGCATCTATTGTTGACTTACCTTCTCTGAATCCATGTTGGTATTCACCTATTTTTGTTCTAGTTTCTTTTTCTATTCTTTGTCTGATCAAATTAGTTAATATTTTGTACATTGTATTTAATAACGTGATTCCCCTGTAGTTAGTGCATTTCGTCTTGTCGCCTTTTTTAGGGATTGGTGTAATCAGACCACAAATCCAGTCGTTCTTCTTCCCATATTCGTTCTATTAGGTTGAGGATTCTGTGGGCTAGTTCCTCTCCCCCATTCTTAAAGAACTCATTTATAATATCGTCTGGTCCTGCTGCTTTCCTTGTCTTTAATCTGTTTATAGTCGCCAATAGTTCGCTGTATGAGGCAGGCTCTGATTGTTCTCCATTCCTATTTTCTGTTTGTTTTTCATTTTCTGCGTTTTCAGCATCGTGTTTCTTTTTAAACAGTTCTCTATAGTGTGTTTCCCATTCTATTTTTTCAATATTTGCTGGTATCTCTTTTTTTCTCTGTGATTTTATGTATTTGTATAGTCTTGCATTGTCATTACTATTGGCTTCGAGTTCCTGCGGTAATTCTTCGATCCATTTCTTCTTTTTTCTTTTGCAGCATTTGTCTGACTCTTTCTTCTTCTCTTTATAGTGTAGGAGATCTTCTTGTTTCCCTGTGGCCACCCACCTGTGTCTTGCTTTGTCCTTGTCTTTACTAGCTTGCTCGCATTCTTCATCGTACCAATCCTTTCTTTTATTGTTTTCCATTATTCCTATCGCCTCCTCTGCTGTTGTTAAGATACTATCTTTTATGTATTCCCATGTTTTATCTATGTTCGATGGTTTTAGGACTAGTAGTTTTTCTTCCAATTTAGTGCAAAATTTTCTGTTTGCATTATATGTATTTAGTTTCGACCGATTCCACCTCTTTCTTTTATTTCTGTCGTTTTTATCTTTAAGAATCTTCAATTTCATGTCGCCTATCACCAAAATGTGATCCGAATCAGCATTGGCTCCCCTGTAAGACCTTACATTCTAAAAAATTGTTCTCCATTTTTTTGAGATTAGGATGTGGTCTATTTGGTTTCCATCTGTTGTTCCAGGTATTAGCCACGTTACTTTGTGCTCTTTTTTGTGCTTAAATTGAGTGCTAATAATAAAAGTATTGGTTGCTGCTGCTAGATTACATATTCTCCTGCCATTGTTATTCGTATTTTGATGGATTGTTTCTTTTTCTGCGATTTCTCTGTTCGTGTCTTCTTTCCCTATCTTTGCGTTGAAGTCTCCTAATAGGATTAGTATGTCGTTCTTTGGTATTTCTTCGTACAATTTTTCAAGTTTATCATAGAATTCATTGTTTTCTTCTTCAGGAGCATTCTCAGTAGGGGCATATATGTTAACAAATGTTAAATTTGCTTGTTTATTTTTTATTCTAATATATGATATTCTTCCATCAACCGCTTTAAAGTTAATAATCTTGTCTCTTACGCTGTTACTAACTAGAAAGGCAGTTCCATTGTGCCCCTGTTTACTTTCTCCTGCGTAGTACATTGTGTAATTTCTTCAAGCAATCATCCCTTTATTTTGTTTTGTTTTGTTTTTGCGTATTTTCTTACAAAACAGTTTCATGTCCGTATCCATTGCCAACTCCGTTATACTGTCGCTGTCTTTTGTTATATTTTTTGTTAGTTTTTTGAAGCCATTTTCATCAATTTTCCTCTTGGATCTATATTATCAGATATGGGAGATCTGTCGTCTATTGTCCTAGCGTTATCCTTTTTCTCTTCAGGTTTCTTCCAGTAATTTACATCTATGCCTTCTAGTTGCTCCAGTGAGAACGGTTCACCATTTATCCATAATTTGTTGTATTTTAATGCGGCTGTGTGTCCTTCCTGGCGTACCATTTTCATATACTGGAGAAGATGCTTCCTTTCTTGTAGTATTTTCTTCGGGAAGTCCTCATTGATATATATTTTAGTTCCTCTTAGGTTTTTAGCAGCCTTCAGAATTTCCATTCTCGTAGCTTCCTTTTTTATTTCTAATATAATGGGTCTGGGTACATTTTGGGGATCACCTTGTCTGCCTATTCTTCTCATCTCTACCAGTTCTTCATCTAGGTTTATTTGTACGCCGATTTTTTTCATTATCCCCTTTATCTTATTTATCATGCCTTGTTTGCTTTCTGTTTGGTTTTCTTCAACCCCCTGTATTACTATGTTTTTTCTTCTAGCTTGTCTTTTCAGTATTTCGATTCTAACTGCTTGTTGTGTGATTTTAGTTCTCATTGCTTTGTTATCTGCCTTCAACTGTTCGTTTTCTTTATTTAATTTATCAAGGTCTACTTGCATTTTATCTATTTTGCTTTCGATTCTTACATTTCTTTCGTCGATTTTCTCTAATTTTTCTAGTATTTGCTCTATTGTACCGCGGTAAGGGTGTCCACCCAATCGACTTGCCGGAGCTTCAACCCTTCTCAGAACTTTGGAGTTATACTCAGATTTGGATTTTCGTAATAATGATTCGGCTTTAATGCAGAAATTTTTCAATAGCCGGCAAAGTCGCTTTTATTTCAGACAGCACTTCAGCTCTTATCGGGATGTTATTGTGCTTTTTGCAATGCTTACTCACTGATATCTGCTGAATTTTGACGAAATATTTTTATCGGAAGAACAGCCGTCGGTCTGAATTCACTTTAGTCTATTTGTATTAGTTTATTTTTCACTTTGTTACACTAAATTTATATTTTAATACGGAGCGTATTTTGACCGTATCGTTCGGATGTAAGCCTCGATACCAAGTCCAAAGCATCGTGGAAGGCAAGAAATTAATTAAATTGAATGAATCATCGTAGAGATGTTACAAAATGTTATCGAAGAGTTTTTAGATCGTCCTATGATTTAGAACAAATTGTTGTAATTATTGTTACTTAAATTCGTTGTATGACACTATTACTTCACAAAATACACAAAAAGATTCGATGTTATTTATTTGACAACAAAACAACCAATAGACGAGTCAATCGTGAAAGCTGTCGACTCAATGACTTTTTGATGAAATAAAATAAAATATTTTTTTCCTTGACTATCCCTTAAAAAAAACAGAAAAATATTTACATTGCAGAATAAAGCATTTAAATTTTTTTCAGGGGTAACTACTATCCCTAGGAAGTTTAAGATACATTAGAATAATGTAATTGGGAGTGTATTTTAATATATAAAAATTGACCTGTTTTAGGATTTTCCATTTGTATTCATAATATCGTATAACAATGAATCGATCTATTACCTTAGGAACTCACTGTATATATAATCCTCAACCGTGTAAAAAAGGTAAGGTGTAAAGAAAAGTTTAACATAACAGTGTTCCTAAGCGATCACCCATTCAAGAAGTAACCGCACCCTACACTGCTTGACTTCGGTACTTACGTAATTTTCGTGTATGGAACACCAACAGCTTTAAATTTTGTGTTTCCAATGGTTGGTTACATAGATGGCTTTGTCATTTGCTAAGAATAGGTCTTATTCTGTGCAGATTTCTTTCATGTATCGTCCTTCTGGTATCCTTCTTTAGGTTACTAGCAAAACTTGAAACGACAGTTCTTGGTCTGTTTAGCGCTTTCCATTTGGGATACGGTAAATTGTGTCCAGTGCCCATTTCCTCCGAGGGAGCAAAATGTGTTGTAGCTGACGCATGCCATAGGTGTATTCGGTGCGTCTTTGATTATTCGAGAAGAGATCGTGATTTTCCCAGAAAGCTCTTCCGAGATCTTAATTTACTTGGCTGGACTTGGTGGTCATGCAAAAGGTATCTTCGATCCTTCTCCTGCTTCTTTCATCGGACGCTATCTGTCTTTTGATAGCAGATGGAGCGATTCCAACTATAGGGTAGACCTCTTTGATAGGTGTCGGTTTCAAGCAACCTGTCGGTATTAATATTGAGTAATATTGACTTCGGTAATCAAACGAGATCGGTATATGCACTGTGGTATGGCTGCTGCCCAATATATCAATACTGATAGTTATTTTAAAAATCCTAGCTTCCTTTGTTGGTCATAGTACGGCTCAATCTATTAGTTATATTCCAATTTTAAAATTACAGAAATACTGTTTTTAAGATCTTTTCGCGCAATTTTTTGAAAATTATCTTTTATACAAACTTTTTCCTACTAATAACAAATACAACAAGAACTATCCAATTTGGTGCAGTCGTTCTGAAGTGATGCCAATACAAAAATAGTGAAGATTTATTTTTATTAATATGAATTTGATTTGTAAAGGGAGAGTGTAGTACGAGGATAAGCACTTTTATATATGCTGTAAACACATAAGCCAAGCTTTTTTGTATGCAATTTTATGGAAACTTTAACATTATGAAATATCATTAGGTACTAATATTTTTCTTTTAAAAATTATATCCAATATTATTTTATGTGCTTTTATTTTTAATATAATTTTGTTGAAATATGATACATACTATATGCTAACATACCGGATTTTATCATAAATCTAAATTATCCAAAACTTACCTGTAAGTTAAGCTGTAACGAGGGGCTTAAAATCTCCAACGAACATTCTCCGTGACTGAGATTCGAAAATAGAACTGTCAAGTCCTCCCACTGTTTGTAGTTTACAATTTTGTCAATATTTATCGTGTTATTTAGGTGAAACGTTTGGTAAACGGGGTAATCCCTTTGACATTGCCTGAAACAATTGAAAGCGGAGGATATATATGAACCGTATCGAATTCAACTTTTTATTTAGACAAGAGTTTTGGATACTTGGCCGTTATTGTTGTCTACGGTTTCTATATCTACCGGTTCGCAAATACTTCCTGTGGCGGAGCATATTCATTTTGGTTGGTGTACTATTTTTTATAAACTTTATTTGTGTACATATAGTAAATTCCAAGAAATGTGCGCATAAATAAAAAATCAATATTTCTACTTTTTTTTAGAAAATAGTTATGTTTTAATTACGCATATAATAAATTGCGGTAAAGGTACCTAAAATAAGTAAATATTTTATACTTATTATTTTAAAAATATGCAGCTATTTTTTTTTTTAATTTTCGCAGTCGACACCCCCGTCGAACAAAGTTGTAATTTATTTTTAGCGATTTTACAGAAGAGGCAAATACGAAAAAATGTATTTTTAATAATTTGTGGAAAAATGAATAAACTCTTTTACACTAATGCAATACGATATTTGGATGGTCTCATGCCAGAGTGAACCAAAAGCCGAAATTGAAAATTTTCAGTACGACAGTTTAAAGTTATGAAGGTGTTATAAAATATACGCAATATGTTATAATCTCTTATAGGATATAAAAGGTTCTAATACTATTCAAAAGAACATTTCTTTAAGACTTTTAGTAACAGCACATGATTTGGATACTTTTAAAGCTGTTTGGTCAGCATTTGCAGTACATGGTTCACTTTGGCAAACTTTTTAGCACTTAGTTCTGTCTGGCTTGAGAAGTATAAATAAATTGTTCTTTTTGTTTGTAATCAAGTTTATTAATACATCATTAAAACTAACAATACAAAAGAATTAAATTTTCAAGTATTATGAGTAATTAAATTATACAAATGTGTAAAAAAACTAATAGTAGCAATATTTAGATCGCATTGTTCATCTCATTTTCCTCTTCATTGTTATTGTCATTCTCTTCTTCAATGTCATCTTCCAATACTTCACTTTGTTGAAGTTTATTGTAAAATTGGTGATGGCATGGTGGTATGAATTGCAAAAGTGATCTGATATCATTAAGTTTTGCTTGACTTAATTTTCTTCCTTCGGGGTAAATAATGCTTAAGTTTAAAGAAGCTAGGTTTACAGGTCGGCCTTTCAATCTCTTATTTAGATTTACTGAATAAAATTGTATTTCTTTGTTATGTGTGTATTTATATTCCATAACTCCTGGATGGTCTTGAGTAAATTTCATTTGTTTTATTTTTAACCATTCTACTTTTTGTTCATCTGAGTCTTTTTTGCGGTTTACCAGATTTTGTTTTAATGCATCCATACTCTTGAAATCCTCTTTTTCCATGCATACTACTTCAAATTTGTTCTTTTTAACTCTTAAGTTTGAAATTATGTTATGCCGTTGTGTAGGCACATAAATTTTAGGATGATATTTCAACTTTTTTTCTATATCACCAAAATCGCTATCGTTTTGTAGATATGAATGTCCTGGCTCAGCAAACTTATAAACTACTTCCTTTATGTTTAAAGTAGGGGACTGCACTATGTACATCCATAACGCGGCAATATTAATGTTGCGGTTTTGGCCGCTACATGAGTCAGACCATGCAATCAATATGTCTTTATGATCATGGGTATTTATGAATTTTAAAATACATGATCCTATTTCCTGGGAACCTCATGAGGCAGTGCTCTCATCCCAAACATGCATTGTCCCGACATTATTTTCAAAATTATGTATACCAAGATTGTAGCATGAAAGCTGCCTCTTATAGTAAACAACTCTGTGGTTAGTTTAGGAAGAAGCATTACTTTCTGAAGATCAAAACTAATTACTGTAGCTTTCCCTTCTTTACTAATCTTAACGTCTTCATTTATTTCTGTGCGAGCTAACTGTACTTTTCTGTGGTGTAGTTCCTGGTTTAGTTTCTTAGTCTTTAACATTGCTTCATCTTTGTTTTCCTCAGCTGCCTTTATTTCAATGTTCAACCTGTCACATGTTTGACAGGTATCTTTTCGTGGAGATTTAAAACTAAGATTAAAATCACGTCTGAACACTTTTTCATAAAGCGATTGGCTTGGAACTTTGTCAACATTTCTCTCTCTTAAACTATCAACATAGAGTCTGTACATTAATGACAAATTTAAATTACAATCCAAGTATTTTTTTTGGGATTGAGTTCTACAGTAATGACTTACTATGGTAGGGAAACTTTGTATATGATTTTTTATTGACTCCATTGTGGACGGTGAAGATTTGTTATGAGGCACTTTTTTCCCTCTAAGATCACTTAAATTTGCACTTTTTTTCTTAAGCAAAACACGATGTACTCTACTACTATTGATTTGTAATATTCCCATAAACATTTTTTTGCATACTTTAATATCTCCGTTTTAAGAAGGGATATAAAATTCACGATTGCCTGTTTTTTTTTGAAATATCAGTGTTCTTACGACGTCTTATTATCGTTCTACATTTTACAGCACCACTTATTATGCTTGTTTGAGTTTCCCAAGACTGTGACTCGTTATAAAACAAATTAAAAAAACTTTCTTTTTGCTGTGCTGTAAGCTTATTTTGGCAGTTTATTTTGCAATTGCAGGAATAGTCATTCAAAGATTTAGAGTGTATGACAGTACTTGAAGTATTGATATATTCTTTACCAGCTGCCCTTTTTTGCTTGCGAATATTTTTTTTCCACTTCTTAGGATCAGATTTTCTCTTCTTGTCTTGAGGTTCTTCCTGCCCTCTGGTATTTTTTTTATCTGTAAAAACACAAAATTATTAATATTTTATATAAGTAAATATTTTACAATACTTTTTTATGTTATAACATAAAAATACTTTGAAACACACATTCACTATGCATAAGACAGACAATTTACGTTCTCTTTTGCCAAAGTGAACTATGTGATTTTAATTTTTTTTTACAATTCCAATATAAATTAATGGAATATATTGCTTCATTCTTATATAGATAGGTAAATACTATGTTCTTAGGTTGGTATAACTGCTCATATTTCACTAGCACTCCCAGTGGACACTGCAAGAAATAAATTTGCACATGGTTCACTTGGCAAAAGAAACGTTCCAAAACATAACCAAACTTTGATAATGAAGTTTTATGGCAATAAATATTATTATCTTACCTGATTTTGTAATATCCGAATCAGAACTTGGATGGTAATCATCTGAAGAACCATTACTGAAATCAGCGTGTTCATCTTCACTAGAATTTCTATCAACAATGTCATGACGATGTGAACTATGTGCACGGGAAGCCATCTTGGACTGGAGGATGGTTCACTGTGGCATATGACTACCAGTACTACCACCCTTTTGCTAAATAGAATTTACTAATTTCCAGCTGATGTTTTCTGTTATTTACATAGTTCGTTTTGGCATAAGTTTAGAACAAAAGTTTGCCTCATAATGGAAATGAAAAAGTTAAAACAAATAAAATGCACATAGTTCACTCTGGCATGAGACCATCCATTTATAACATAAAAAGGGGTACCTTTGAGATGTATAGCGTCTGGTTAAAAAAAAACGGTCGAAACATTTTATCTGAAGCTTTTAAGACATAGGTGGGGGTTACTAGATGACGAATAGATGAAAAAGTACTCATATTTTCACCTTGCGTTTTTTAAACAATAAATTTATAGTCACAATTTGATTTTATGTCTATAAGTTTTTTCCCTTATATTTCACATAAATTTGTATAATTTTTTTATATTAAGAATATCTTTACTTTACCATTTTTTAAATTAAAATTGATAAATAATTTACGGGCACATGGACTGCCGGAGTGGTGACGTAGATTCTATTGACATTTATCAATTTCATTTTCCACGCAAACCTTGTTTATTGTGGATAATTTCTAATTTTCTTTATTTTTTAATTTTTTACAGAATTGTTTCGCTGTTTGCAATATCTAAGTATTTTGCATGTATTAATAAAGTAAGGTTAGCATTTCTTTAATTTCAACTTCTAAACTATATTTCATATAAATAGAACATTGAATTTGTAGCATTTTATATTGAGATCCCCTCGTATATGTAAAATATTAAAATCCCCTTATATATGTGTGATAAATATAAGAATATTTCGTACGTATTAAAACCCAAATATCTTTTCAATTCTTTCTTAGGTCGGCCAAGTTAAAATAATCCATTTTAGAGTTGTTTATTTTTTTAACGTTTTCGTCAATTCCATTCCAAGTCACGATATAATTTTTATACATCGTAGAAATGGAATCTTTTTCATTTTAATTCCTGTCAAGTGTTTGTTTATTTACAAGTTATGCGAACAAATTTTAATTTTTTAATTTCGTCACTATCGTTGGAGCCGCGGTGAGAAGCGTTCAACGTTATGTCCGAATTTGACTTCAAATTTGAAATGTTCCTCGTTGTTCGTGTTTTTTTATGAAGACGTTTGTTCGTCTTTTTTTATGAGGAACATCTAGCAGTGAAAGGTGGTTTTGTGGCAATAAATGCTCCAATTAATGTTTTGATTGAGGATTGGAAGAATTGTCGTTTCCATCCTCGTTTTGTTTTTTCCCTGTTTGTTATCCAAGGCTTTTGGCAGTTTGGAGATGGAGTTGTTCGTTACGCAGAGAGAGTGAAGCCCTCAGTTCCAGTTATGGTTTCGGAGATTCCAGTGGCGTCTGGTTCCACAAATTCTATTGCATTTTGTTAAAAATTTTAAAGTAGAGACAGACATCTTTTTTAAATAAATAATTGCTTTCGTTATAATTTAGAAATTGTAACATTTAAAAATTTTAATGCGGTAACATTTGTAAGTTTAATGTAGTATCTCCAACTCCTGGAGTTTGTAAGCGGATGACACACGTAAGTTTTTAGTATTCTTGTATTTCTCCATGTTGTAACTGTTTGTGGTGACACAAAAATAAATGTTAAATTTTGTTTTCTTAACATTTTGTTTATTTTTTTTTGAGCTTACCCTTTTTTGAGTTTTATTTGAAAAAGATATGTTT